GAAGTTCCCTAGTTGCAACCATGAGTTGCCGGTGTGGCCACTGAGTCATACTGTAAATCTTCGCTAGCTGTGCTCACTCACAGTGCGTCCGAAAGAAAGATAAGGCCTGCGCCTCCACCAGTTGCTGGTGCCTTCTGCGGAGAAGGGGGTTGAGGTTGTATGAACTTGGATGAGCCGGGGGTTGGCTTCTACATGTATTTAGTTACAGGACTTGCTAGGACTTGCTATATAGTTATGTAAGTATATACCGATTTGCTAAGGCATGCTATCTGGTTAGAGAAGTATTTGTTAAGGAGATAGCAACCAGGATAGCATCCAGTTGTCTAAGTACTTATATGGCTGTATGAGCTCTATGCTAACCACTTAGCAAACATTTTGCTAACCACTTAGCAGCACCAAAAACCAAGAAATCCGGTGACCAAATACCTGTTTTTAGGCATTCCATTCCTAACAAAACCAGAGTCAGGAATCGCGATTTCAACCTTTTCGCTTTAGAAATCTCACAACCCGGTGACCAAATTCCTGTTTTTTGAAGCTTTCCATTCCTAAAAAAACCAAAATCAGGAATTGCGCTTTCGACTTTGTCGTTTTAGAAATCACAAAATACGAAGCAGCACTCAGTGGATGTAGAGCCTGTGCAGGCTTCATGCAGAAGCCAATATGGCTTGTCAGGCAGTTATATATGCAGGCAATCGTGAGGGGCGAGACGTGCTGCATTGGCAGTCTTTTGGCAACTGCAGGCTCTTCCAGCACTCAAGCCTTTCTGTGGGCCAAAGGAATCAGAACTCGAATCTTGTCTTCTGCAAGAGCAGTGTACTGCAAAGGGCAAGCAATCATGCTGGTTTCTACCAGCATCGGGGCTTCAGTCCTCTGGACTATGAGCGAGCCATGGGCCAAATCATCTTTCAACAGATTGAAATGTGAAACCAAAGAATATACAACTCCATCAAGGTCAGCATGGAAATACACTTCTGCAACTTGGTGGGAAGCTCTCATCAGCACAAGATCACCCTTATGTGCAAAACCAGCTGGCTCCAATGCCGCAACTGCACAACTGTGGATGTCTTGGCTACCGGGCATATATTCCCGCAGGAAAGATACCATTTTGGCTGGTGCTCTTCCTTGTCGTTCCAGCTTGCAAGATGTGTCGAAAAGCTCTTCCTGCTGCATGTCAGCCAGTGTCTGGCCTAGCAGTTGCAAAAGAATGGACCTTTCATAATTAGTCGTGTTTTGTTGCAAGTTGCCAAACCTCTTTGCCAGTTTGTGCTTCCGTTCCTGGACCCAGCATGCAGGCAAAATGCCCCATTTCCGCAACTGGGCAGGTAAGTGTACCACCCAATGAAATTTTGGGTGCCAAGCATCATGCCATCCTGCTGCAATGCTGGCTTGTAGGAAAGCCTCTATGGCTGCAGCTAGCCTTTCTGGGCTCGTGATTCCTGGCACAGCACATGCTTGAAGCAGCTCAAGCACATTTGCTAATGCCACCATCACAGCAATGGCCTTGGCACAGGCACCGGTGGGAGCAACCACTTGCAGCAACAAGCATGTAAAGATGCTGAACAAAGACAACCCCTCGGATGCAGTACACTTGAAGCTCCCAGCTTCGTCGTTGGCCTTCTTCCTCTTCGGGAGAAACAAACCTGAGAGGTTTTCGGACCTGCTCTTGGGAAGCTGCCACTCCTTCACATAATCGAAGACGATCTTGTAAAAGTCTCGGCCCAAAGCTTCCTCGGCTTCTCGCATCATGAGGTGCATGATCGTGTTGAAGATCCCTTTCACCAGGAAGGTGTGCATCCAGTCATGAAGCCATTGGCTTGTCGGCTTGACAACCCTGCAGAGGTCCGGATCGAAGATCATGGCTGCAGGATTGAAGTTCAAGCCAACTGCTTGTTGCCAGAGCTGGAAGTCCTTGCTGGACAAAGTGTCCTTCTTCTGCACCGTCTTGAGCACGGAAGCTGCAAAGTCATCATCTGTTGACAGCACCAAGTCTGCTTCCTTGTAGATACCAGAAACCAGCCTGGCCTCTTCAAGCTCGATGCTGTTGTTAGAGATGACATTTTTGCAAAGCAGGCAGCATCTTGTTCCGTTGTCGCCCTTGATTGAAAACAACACCTTGTGGGCCAGGCCGTCTTGAAGAAAAGCGCCGAGCTTGAACTTCAGGTTGAGGCACAAGCTGTCATCAGCTGTCTTCAAGAGGATGCCAACCTGCATCAACCAGAAAACCAAAGCACACTTATAGAAAATATTTGAACATGTACACATCCCCATTTAGCACCACATATATTATATATATGCTTACATAGCCGAGAGAAGAAACCCTCAAGTAAAAAAAAGGACTTATTATTTACGGCCTCTGGGTGGCAATGCCCATGGCAGAAGATGCTCTTCAACACCAGCGAAGCCATCTGGCTGGCACCTCCCGGAAGATCGTTCACAAGCGACGATCGTTGGCCAAGAACTGGTATCCAAGCCTCTTCTTTGGACAGTGCATGTGATCCAAATTCCATAAAGGAAAGATACACTGCCCACAACTTTGGTGTCAGCTGAAAGCGGATTTCCAGGAGTAACTTCATCGGAGTAAAAAACGAGGTTCAACGGCTGACCCCCAGAAGCAGCACAACTCCTCATCAGGAGACCTCGGAACTCGGATGATGTCTCAAAAAGCGCCTGCAACAAACTGAAGAAGTTGGCCATGATTACCTCGATCTCCCCTTCGTCCGTGGCCACTTTGACGGAATGAATCATATGCCCATAGGCATTGTGCTCTAAGACTGCGGTTTCAGTAGCCTCCTTGATGTGTTTCCTCTGCTTCAAAGGCGGTAAGCCGTTTTTATCGATGTCCTGAAGCAAGGCTGCCAAGGCTGATGCAGACACTGCAGGTACCCTCCTCCTCAAAGCATCCAGCTTTTGAAGTTTGGAGTCCCGACTGCCAGATGCCATGAAGGAAACACACCAGTGTTGAAACACACCAGTGCACGAATATATGTACACGTGGCCACAAGCTCGCACGAAGGGTGTGGGTACCAGGGGAGATGATAGATAGATATAGGGCTTAGAGTCACTTTCTATGGTCAAAGGGTTGCAATTCTTGAATATCTATGGTTTCTATAGAAACGAATTAAACGGGTCTTTATATAGTTAGGTTGGGGCCATGAGGTTTATGGTGCTATATGTGTCGGTGTACATATACATATATATATATATATATACAGATACATATGTAAATACTTTAACACATATGTGGCTTCAGGTTTTATGCCGAATATAAAAGAAGCCTCAAACTATATAATGGTGCATTGTCTGGAGGCTGTCTTGCATTCGGGAACCCACTGTTATAATACTCCAGTTGCTTTCAGGGTGTGGGAAAAACTCGGATTCTTCTAGAAAGTGCTCTAATTGAAAAAGCGCCGAAAACATATGAACCCAAAGCTTGCAGACTGGGGTCTATGAAAGCACAAATGCTCCATGATTGCATACATGCAGTCAGA